GGGTCATGATATGCGGATTTATTTTTGCTCTCCACTTCCACCTAAAGTGTATCCTTATTGTTGTCCCACATCGACTAGAGAGCCAAAGAGAAAGTAGTGTAAATAGAAATACCCCTCTCTAAGAGCACCTCCAGCCTTTACCCAAGACTGGGCAAAAGGCCCCCCAAGGCAGCCCAAGACAGCTCCAGCGGAAGAAAAATGGCCCAGGCAAATGGTGGGTCCCATCGAACTGGGCAAGCCCACGGGCAGATCTTGCCTGGGCTGCAGCCCGAAGGCGCTTACGTCAGCGAGTAAAACAAAATCCAAAAAATCCAAAAAAATTTCAAAATTTTTTTTAAATACAAAAAAATTATAGATATTTTCCCTATAAATACATAACAATTTTATTCACTTTCTAAATTGTTTATATTTTGTTGCATAATCTTTTTTTTTTCTTGCCCTTGCCCTAGCCTTCCAAGGGTGGAACCAACTAAGGCAAGGCTAGCACTATTCATGTGAATAGTGGCAGCCCTTGCCTTGCCTTAGCCTTGCCTTAGCCTACATGGGTGGAGGTGCTCTAACTAACACCGATGCCTTTTGTGATAAAATTCCACACATGAGGATTGTGCAGGTGGTAAAGTGGGGACAATATCGGTGTTGTTGGAGTGAGCCTTCGGCCCGTCGACCTGGAAAATTTAACATGGTATCAAAGCCAGGTTGCGGGCCCGTACTGCCACGTGATGAGCGGGTCCCCGTTTGGCCCCGCGCGATGGGTGAGTCCCTACATGGCTCCACGTGGTTACCGATGTGGATTTCCACGTGTGACCCATAAAAATAGGGTCTCACGTGCGGGGGATTGTTGGAATTCAAGACCTTTTGTGATAAAACTCCACACCTAAGGATTGTGCAGGTGGGAAGACAAGATGAAACCGGTTCGTCTGATAATATGGACAGGCCATACCCGGTGAAAACTTGAAATCAACGGCTGGTGTTCGTCTAATAACCCAAAAAGACAACCTTAAAAACTTGAAAGAACTGAGCTCTCCTCTGAGTGTTCCATCTCTCTGCTCGCTCTGCTTCTCTCTTCTGCAATCTCTCTGTGAGCTTCAGGCTTAGCTCTACTCAGAGGTAAGCTTTTGATATTTTGTGGTTTGACATAACCCAAGTAGATTAGAGGTTTTGTTTGTTGTAGCATTCTATTTCTGTTCATAGTTGACCTTCATATTGAATTAACTAATTATATTTTTATAATTGAGAAAAGCTACCTGTTTCAAATGATTTTTCTCTGATTATGCTGTGAAATTTTGGTGTTTCTTGTTGTTTAAGATGCTTTAGTTTGTGAATTTTTGAAGTTTGAAGGTTTGTAGATGTACTTGTGGAGGTTTCCATTTTCATTTTGGTATTTTAATGGTTTTTTAGGTTGAAGAAGGAAACTAATTTGGAAGGAAATTCTGCAGCTTTTTTGGATTTGGGTTCTCTCTCCTAGTTGGGTTTCTATAGAGACTGTAGAGTAATTACAAAGTTCATGACAATGGATCGTCGTCTTAGGGCCTTCTCTGATTCTTTCAATGGAGTCCAATTAGGTAACCGAGTTTTACCCATTCTTTCACATCCGAACATCGTGGCCCGATCCCAATTCGATAGTAATACCTTCTTAGATAATAATTATAGGGAATTTAATTACCCTCAACCCGTTCTTACCCCGAATAATGTATCTTCAAACGCAAGTGTGAGCCCCGAGGAAGATTCTCAGGAAGATTGTGACTTTTCGGATGTAGTCTTGAAATACATAAACCAGATGCTTATGGAAGAAGACTTGGAGGACAAGACTTGCATGCTTCAAGAGTCTTTGGAACTTCAAGCGGCTGAGAAGTCATTCTATGAGGTCCTTGGAAAGAAATATCCCCCTTCTCCAGAGCTACACCGGGATTATGCCTTTCAATATGGTGAGAGCCCAGGGGATAGTTTTTCTGGAACTGGGAGCAACTATATCACGAGTACTTGTAACAGTGGTGGCTATTTCGTCGACAATACCTTGATTCAAAGTCCAGTTGGAAATTTGTCTCAGTTAAAGGGTCTTCCAGCTTATAGCATTTCTCAATCACCTTATGGCTCTTCAACTAGGGTCAGTAGCCTGAATGGGCAGGTGGACTCTCCTAGTAGTCTTCATATGCCAGATTTGAATACCGAGAGCCAATCTGTTTGGCAGTTCAAGAAGGGGGTTGAGGAGGCTAGTAGATTTCTTCCTGGTGAGACTAAGTTGGTTGTTAACCTGGAGGCAAATGGGCTGTCAGCTCAAGCGCCAAAGGTCGGGACCAATGGTGAAGTTGTCAAGGTGGAGAAAAAGGATGAAGGAGAATATTCTCCTTGTGGATCAAGGGGAAGGAAGAATCTGTATAGGGAGGATGACGATGTAGAGGAATCAAGGAGTAGCAAGCAAGCAGCTGTTTCTACTGAATCTACTCTGCGGTCGGAGATGTTTGATACTGTATTGCTTTGTAGCACAGGGGAGGGTCTGGAGCGCTTGGAATCTCTTCGCGAGGCCTTGCAGAATGGAATGAGCAAAAGCGTGCCACAGAATGGGCAATCCAAAGGATCAAATGGAGGGAAAGGTCGTGGTAAGAAACAAACTGGTAAAAAGGAGGTGGTGGATTTGAGAACCCTCCTAATCAGTTGTGCACAAGCAGTTGCAGCTGATGATCATAGGAGCGCAAATGAACTGCTAAAGAAGGTGAGACAGCATTCTTCTCCTTTTGGAGATGGGACTCAGAGACTTGCTCATTGCCTTGCTGATGGCCTTGAGGCACGCTTGGCTGGTACTGGTAGCCAGATTTATAAAGCCCTTGTTAGCAAAAGAACCTCTGCTGCTGATGTCTTGAAAGCTTACCATCTATTACTTGCTGCATCCCCATTTAAGAAGATATCTAATTTTGTTTCAAACAAGACAATAATGAATCTAGCACAAAATGCGACAAGGGTCCATGTCATAGATTTCGGTATCCTTTATGGTTTCCAATGGCCCACCCTTATTCAACGTATCTCCTGGAGGGATGGTGGACCTCCAAGGCTTCGGATTACTGGAATCGAATTTCCCCAACCAGGATTTCGGCCAGCTGAGCGAGTTGAGGAAACAGGACGTCGTTTGGCAGCTTATGCTGAGAAGTTCAACGTGCCATTTGAGTACAATGCAATTGCAAAGAACTGGGATACCATTAAACTTGAGGAACTCAAGATTGACAGGGATGAGGTTCTTGTTGTGAACTTTTTATATCGGGGCAAGAACTTGCTTGATGAAAGTGTGGTTGTGGACAGTCCAAGAAACAGGGTTCTTGATTTGATAAGGAGAATTAATCCAGACCTTTTCATCCATGGAATTGTTAACGGGGCGTTCAATGCCCCCTTCTTCGTTACCAGGTTCCGGGAGGCATTGTTTCATTTTTCTTCACTGTTTGATATGCTTGAAACTGTTGTACCCCGTGAGGACCGGGAGAGGATGTTAATTGAGGCAGAAATCTTTGGCAGGGAGGCATTAAATGTTATAGCTTGTGAAGGATGGGAGCGGGTGGAAAGGCCAGAAACATACAAACAATGGCAAGTCCGTAACTTGAGGGCTGGGTTTGTGCAACTACCTTTAGACCGATGGCTTGTGAAGAGGGCAGGTGAGAAAGTGAGATCTGGTTACCACAAGGATTTTGTCATTGATGAAGATAGCCGCTGGCTGTTGCAGGGATGGAAGGGACGAACTGTCTATGCCCTTTCTACTTGGAAACCTGCTTAAGAAACTTCAAAAGGCACAGTTATTAGTGCTTGTATTCTGCTTCTTAGCCCTTCGGCATTCAACAAAGATACTGGAGCAATTCAAGGTAATTGTGTTGCTTGATTTAAGTTTTTGTTATCTTTTATTCTCTCTCTCTCTCTCTCTCTCTCTCTCTCTTCTTGTTATTGCCCTCCTCACATTTGTTGATAATCTGGCAGGTAAAAAGGGTAGCTGACTTTCACTGTTGATGGTTAATTATGGATCATGCATTATAAGAGATGGTCATTGGTGTTGTGCTTTGTCCCCCTGTAGAGAGTCTTGAAGTCTTGAAGAATTTTGTAACACTTCCCTTCAGCAAGGTAAAAGTTTGTCACCATGTTCACAATCTTTGTTCAATTTAAGAAGCAGAACAGAAAACTGTGCAGTTTCATACCAGTTGTCTCTCTCTCTCTCTCTCTCTCTCTCTCTCTCTCTCTCTCTCTCTCTCTTCTTGTTATTGCCCTCCTCACATTTGTTGATAATCTGGCAGGTAAAAAGGGTAGCTGACTTTCACTGTTGATGGTTAATTATGGATCATGCATTATAAGAGATGGTCATTGGTGTTGTGCTTTGTCCCCCTGTAGAGAGTCTTGAAGTCTTGAAGAATTTTGTAACACTTCCCTTCAGCAAGGTAAAAGTTTGTCACCATGTTCACAATCTTTGTTCAATTTAAGAAGCAGAACAGAAAACTGTGCAGTTTCATACCAGTTGTGTTTTTATGGAAGAAATTCTCTCTCTCTCTCTCTCTCTCTCTCTCTCTCTCTCTCTCTAACACAATTATACTATTCGTTGTAATTGGGATTTCCCTTCTTTTTTAGCTTAAGTGGCTTTTTAAAAACAATCTTACCCACTTCCTTAAAAGATTTTAACTTTTCTGAAATACCATATTCTTTTTGGCTCAAGTCATACTCCGCCGGAGGCATCTGGAGTTGGCCTGCTTATAGAATTTGGTATCTGAGTCTGACTACCACCATAGAAATGGAATTTGATTCGCCAGGCAAGGCAATACAAGACAAAGCACAAAAGAAACAGGTCTTTGGGATCAAATGCAAAACTGCTTCTTCATTGGATTGGAAGGACCAGTACATGAGTCCCACTATCTATTAATTTATGCCCATTTAAAACATACTTCAACCTGGTACTAAATTGTCGGAGCAAATCATATTTTATGGATGATAAACAGGTACTTAACGACTTTAATCATGTTGTGGGGGCAGCAGGACCATAAAATAATGTAATGTAGGCTCAACGTCTCATAAGGCTTTTAACGGTTAAGAGCATTCATTCATGTACCGACCAAAGATTTTAATCTTATACAGGGAATATGGCATAATTCATCTATTCTTCTTCAGGCAAACTTGTCTCGTCGAACCATTGAGGAGGATCATATCCAGTGCCACCTAAAAATGAGAAACGAACAATTCACATAAATTTAAAAACCCAAAAGAATTTAAAGGAAAAAAAAAAAAAAAAACCCAGCAAAATTAAGAATGTGTTTAATTACCAAGGGGATTACAACGACAGATTCGCCAAGCTGTCAAGACAGAACCTTTTGCAAATCCATATTTCTTGTAAGCTTGCATTGAGTACTCACTGCAGGTTGGGACATACCGGCAACTATTCAGCAACAGAGGTGAGATTTCCCCTGCACTTTCACAAATTTGCTTAATTTAGTCATAACCCACCGTTATTATTACTAATTAACAGTCAATGACTTTCTTAATCACGTTTAAATTAACGATAAGTAATAATTAAAAGCAACTCCCAGAGAAAGAAGAAGAAAAAAAAAGGATGCTTACTTTTGTAGAATTTGAGCACACATAATGCAGCTTTAACTCCCAAATTGTCCACTTCCTTATCTGCTTACAAGCGAACTGCTTGGTGAGCATTTTCAGTATGTACGGAAATTGAGAGAGAGAGAGAGAGAGAGAGAGAGAGAGAGAACCTTGTGGATTGTTCGGGTCGGATTCTGTGTCTCCATTCAGTCCATTGATTATGGGGCGACGGCGAGCCCTCCAGGCATGGGATTGATTGGGGTTAATTTTGCGGGAATTGAAGCTAGGGTTTTGCGATTGGGATTGGACAGTTATAGCCAGAGGTTTATGGTAGTTAACCAACATAACAACAACCGCCATCTTCAGCTGCGCTTCGACTCGAGCGCGCCTTATGATATTTTCTCACCCTTTTTGTTCCGGCTACGGCGTCGTTTTGCATGTTTATTAAATTATTATTTGCACCACGTTTCCTTTTTGCACCACTTTATCATATCACTAGCGCCTAGCGCCTAGGCGGCGCCTAAGCCGATTTTCCGAACCATCGCCACTTATTAGAGCTGCTCAAGTCAGGCATCGACCCAGAGCCCACATAACTGCCCCAAAAAGCAATTTATCCATTTACTAGCGCCTAGCGTGCCTAGGCGCCGCCTAGCCGATGCAGAGTAAACTTCCAATCCATCCATTACTGAAAAACTAAAGAGAAAAAAGAAACAATAATAAAGGAAAATACAATGGGTTTTATCCTCTACTTTTTTTTTTCCTTTCTTTGAATATAAATTTTTTATCAGCTGTTTTTTATTTTTCTTTCAGGGGTATTTGTGACCAATGTTTATTTATAAAGCCTTTTCGCCTCGCTTTACAATAGTAGAGATACATAAAATAAAACTGCACTTCAGGGTTTTCATCACACTTGATTTTTATCCCATATAGAAAATCAATGTCTCACAATCACCGTGGATAGAACAGTGCTTGGTTTGGTTGATTATGAGTAATTTCCGTGTGAGACCATAACACCGCCACTTGATGTTACACTCCATTCACGATAATGAGCATTTGAATTATTATTAGGGCACTTCCAGTAGTCAAACCCTTGCCATGGCAAGGGGGGGCTAGGGTTGATACTATTCACATGAATAGTATCTGCCCTTGCAAAAAGTAAGTTGCACTTCCAGCAGTTGTCATGGCAAAAGGCAAGTACTATTCAATTTTTTGTTTTTTTTCACAAATTTGTTTACCTAAACAATTAATTTGGACAATATTTTCATATGAGATTTTGTGATAAAATATTCTGATAAGATTTTTAGATAAGATTGTCAGTTTCAAATTTCAGATAAATTTTTGTTTCAAATTTCATCTCATTACCCAGTATGGGATTATGACTAATTTGGACTCAACACTCACACAACAAGACATCTTCCATAATACTCCATGCCCCTCCGGTTTCTTGAGAAAAATCCATAATGCTAGAGACAAATTAAACTTGAAAGTGAAAAAAATTTATAGTAGAAAGTGAAAAAATTATTGAGTAGAAAGTGAATAATAATTGGAGAAGGAAAAGATGTATGAGGATTTGTTGTTAAAAGTGAAGAGTAGGGATTGGTATTTATAGAAAAAAAAATCCAGTATTTTTTGGGGTTTTTAAAATAAATTTTTACGAATTTTTTTCATAATTTTTTGCCTTGAAAAATTCCAGACCATTGGATTGGATGACAAAACGAATCGGAAGGACCAGAACACGCCACGTGGCATAGATCCGTTGGCGGAAAGCTGACGCGCGCATCAAATTTTTTTTAACGTTGGCGCGTGCTTCAAACCCACCTGCTGACATCACACTGGCGTCAGCAATGACATCAACTGCGCCTTCAGGCTCGCGCTCGGGCTCCCCTTGCCTTCGGGCCAGCCCAAGCTCGTGGACCCCACGAATTGCCCAGGCCAGCCTGTTGCTGGAACTTGATTTTGGGCTCTTCCCCCCAGCCCGAGCCCTAGGGGGCTGCTGGAAGTGGCCTTAGACAAGCTCAGGCAACCCAAATAAGATGCTAGACGACCATATAAAACTAGGGGATGCATACTCTTTAACATTGTTTCACTGATAAACATCTTAATATGCTAGTTTATTTTCTGCCATTCTTTCCCAGGAAAAAAAATACACCCATAAAGGGAAATCTTCTCTTTGGCATTACAATCCAAAACTGAAAGTAGATGTTCTAAAATAAAACTTGATAGGATATAATATTATTCCCAGACCAACAAGGTATCTGAGAAAATCAGAACCGAGTAGTGATCTGCGAAAATAGCGCCTTGAAATCCTTGGTTGGTGTCCCAGTTCCCTCGGGCTTTGAGGCCAAATCAAATGCTTTAAACTTGGCCTCCTCAAACTGTAGTGCCTGATCAAATTAAAGAGGCATACAAAAAGCAAGGAAATTAGTAGAATGTACCACCATTGACCAAAAAACAGATACTGCACAACCCGAAGACCCATGCAAGCTTCGAGGTAAGAAGAGAAAAATGAAACTGGGAAACTGTTTATTTGCACAGCCCCTACACACAATACCTGAATGCAGACTTCTGCAACATCAGCTCTGGCAATGGTTCTTGTTTCTGTCTTCAGAAGCTCATCATCCTTTCCAATCAGTAGTTCACGGATACCGCCTTCTTTATCTTGCAGGCCTCCAGCCCTAATTCATTAATAGTGGTCTAGATTAATTGGATAGTTAAAGAGAATAACAAGAAGTATCAGTTGTATGATGACTAGTTTCCAGCATTGCTAGTTTCAACAATTTAGTGATTTGAATTTCTATTGTACACTTGACTGATGCACATACCACACAACTAGTTCTATAAGTTTTAGCATCTGCAGCTATAAGGGGTCACAGAAAGAAAGGATTGTGTAGGTTTTTAAAAGTTAGAGTGCCATTTTGTTGAAGAATAAAAACCCAATGCTAAGTAGCATAAACAACACTTAGGCTTCCTAATTTTTCATTTGTGAGGTTTAAGTTCATATTAATACTACAAATTTTCTGTAACAGTAGTAAGGAAACCAGCCAATGATGTTACAAAGTCCATTAATTACGAATATATTGCTTGAATAAGTATGAATATAAGTAGACCAACCTTATGATTGTGTATGGAACACCAGAGTCAGCCAAATACTGCTCAGCCTTCCTCTTCCAAACCTGTATAGCGAACATATTGCACATCACTTTTATAATTAACTTATAAGAAGGAAGGAATAAATCAAAGTGAAATTCCATTTCTACAAACAGAACGCTGAAAAGGAGGTAACTCAAATGTAGAAAGGAATTACTGACCAATATATTCCCATTACCCAAGCTATTGAGGGGATTATTAATATCTGTTCCACCCATAGAACCAACTAACACAATTTGCTTCACTCCCGCAGCCTTAGCTGTTAACATTCATCATATAAATCAAAATGGGATTTACCATACAATTCACAAAGTACAAGCCAAATAGACCATGTTTTGAATAAATGGAAAGAAGGATAAAAATTCTCACCAGCATCTATTTGGTTTTTCTGTCCAATCCAATCAACCTAAGATTGAAAACCATATATTAAAACAAGGAGGAAAAACTACAACTACAAAAATAAATATTTTTCTACAACCACATAATACTGTGATTCTAAAAATCATAAAAATGAAGGCACATACCTGTTCAGGATATGACCCATCTTCAAAATAGAATTCAGGCCTCCCACCTTTGGTTGGATCAAATCCAGGTTTCATCTTTGGCACAGCACTTGTAAGGATAACGAGAGCATCAATGCCTTGAATTGCAGGTAGAATGCTGTTGGCATCCCTTATATCTCCAGTAAAAATATCATCTGCTCCACCAATGCTCTCTTTGCTCTCTTCTGTCCTAACCAGACCCCTAGCAACATACTGGTCTGCCTCCTTTAACTTCTGATAAACTATTTTACCTGCCAAGAATCCCCCAATAATGCATTTCAATTACAAACTCTTACTTTAACATAAGGGCATGAAAAGTCCTCTCCGACATTCATTGCCATAGATGTTGAGTAACAACTCAAAATAAACGCAGCCACAATCACAAAACACACTTTCATCACTATAGATGCTGAGTTTTTTTTTTTTTGGTCAACGCCATAGATGCTGTGCTGAGTAACAACTTAAAATAAACACATTCACAACAATAAAACACACGGGCATCACCCCATTCAATCACACATGCTTCTCCACGCAAACACCCCCAATTATCTATTACACTTACATTTCTGCCCACTCTCATTGACCCACCACAAATCTCACACCCTAAATACTAAATACACATCTTCTAATGCTTTTTACCAAAAAGCTTTCTAATTTATCGAGTCTATGACTCACTGAGCCCAACAATAAACCATCCAAAATTCAGACCAAATCCATATAAACAAGTGAACCCAACCCCCAACAAAACTTACTTTCAACAATTAACAAAAAATAGGGAGGGAGAGAGAGAGGGAGTACCAGTTCTACCACCAGCTCCAGTGACAAGGACTGTGCTTGGACCCAAATCCGCCATCGCCTTTGTGACCACTCCTACACTCCTAAAACCCTTTCTCACCCTTCTCTCGACAAACAAGGATGAAGCAGAAAATGAAGTCGAATAATGAAAAGAAAGGCTCGAACTTTCTGGATGTGCCACCCAACTACATTTATGACATTGACGGACGCTGCGACTGTTGCTAAATCTACAATTATTATTTGAGATCGCCAAGGGGACACGTGGTGCCACTGCCACCGTTGCCATTTCTGATGAGACCAAAACTTAGTTTTACGGACCAGTTTCCATACACCCACTCAGTCACAATTGCAATTTTGCAACCAGCTCAGCGAGACTGACAGAGAGAGAAGGCTTCGTTCTTCGCTGGTGGCCGTTAATGCACCGACTTAGTTGGTTGGTTGGTTTTCTCTTCTACAGTTCTACCTAATGCCTTATCTCTTTGCCACTGGATATGAGTCATGACAGGGCCATAGCCCATTATCCATAATTTAAGTTGTGTTTAGAGAAATAATGATCAAATGATCAAATGGGTTTTATTTACTTTCTTAGCAGAAGATAAAAGTTACAAACTTTACCGAAAACAACCATGTCCACAGCTCATAGCTCTGTCTGTATGGCCATAGCCCATAACCCATATCGCATAATTTCCTTTAACTTATGTTAGAGAAAAATTATCAAATGATCAAATGGGGTTTATTTACTTTCTTAGCAGAATTTGAAAGTTACAAACTTTCCCAAAAAAAACCATGTCCACAGGTCACAGTTCTGTCCGTTTGTATGGCTCGTGTTTCACACAGCTCTAACTATCACAATCTAATTTTCTGCAGTAAATTATAGCCACACAATCTAATTGCCACTGTTATGCTTGGATCTGAAGGGATCTGTTTATTTCTCTCCCAAAAAAACAAAAAAATACAAGAACTGGGTTGCTTTCCAACCTAGCAAGTAATCAAGGCTAGCTGATGAAAAAAGGATGCTTTTTTCAAACTGTTCACAGCTATACATGACAAAAGGGCAGCCAATCGCCTTTTCTTCCTACTTGGGTTAATTGGGATTCATGTGATTTGCAGTCAATGATGCCAAAGCAAGTGTCCTGCTACTGTCTCGAGACTCTTCTAGACTATGATATCACTAGGCCTAAAACAGTAAAGGGCATATTATAATCACCTATGATCTTGGACATATCATTTTCCCACTGTTTCTTGCGCATCAATCATGCTACGCATTTGAATTCTTAATTTTATGTGTTCCAGCCAGTATGTCCCTTTCATTACAAATGTCGACATAATTACGTACACACACCACACACCTTAATAATATTATTATTATTATATATCTCGCGTGATTAGCATGAAGCTCCCTATTAATAATTGCAATCGCAATCATATTCTGACTCCCTTGACAAAGGCAGAGGAGTAAGAGGTACGTGATTAGAAAAATCACGATGGTGTGGTATACGTTAATGTTATGTTATTAAATTGATTGATTATGTCAATTGTTATTTGAATGTTTCTAATCATGACAGTGCGATATAAGTTAATGTTATTTTATTAAATTTATTAATTAGGAGGATTGTTACATGAATATTCGTTCAGATTTACAATGTGAAAACATAAATTATATATTTTATTATGAATAAGAGGGAATCACAATGAGACAAGGAAAATGGGATATTTTTTTTTTTTTTAAATGATGAGGAAAATGGGATTGTAAGATCCCACAAACATGATTTCTTTCCTCATACAAACTTAGTGCTTGCTGGCACAAAACCTAAGCTGTGACTGATGTCTCCACTGCAACCTTCCCAGAGTAACGAACTTCAGATTTCATTTCAACCTCCCAAAGCTCTGGCAGTGCTTCCCTGAGGTTGTGAATGCTTTCTAGTGCATAATCTGCGCCTTTAACTCTCTGGGATGTCCCAATCTGTACATATTCAATAGTGACAAAATGAATGGCATTATTAGTAATTTAGATTGTCTGTTGGTCTTTGCTGGCAATGAATAAGGGCCAGTATTTGTGGTATAAAAAAGTTTCCAATATCTTACCAGCACAGTTTGAAGTCCCACTCTTTTGCCAGCTTGTATGTTGCGGACACTATCTTCAAAGAACAGCTGCCAGAGCCAAAAATAAACTAAGTAACTAAATCTAAAACCCCTGCAGATTTTCAAAACCTTAGAGAGAGTTTGTTATCTTACTGTTCTCTGAGGATCAATGTTGGCTATCTTGAGAGCCCGTTCTATGGCGGCTTCTGATGGTTTGCACACAATTGGTGTTTTGGGTAATTTGGAAGTGGGGTTTTGTTGAGCAAAATGGCCAATGATGTCAAATATTTGAGAGCTGCTGGTTGTTGTTGCAGGAACTTCAGCTGCAGGTCCCACAAACTCAATGTCATCTTCATCATCAGAGACAATGCTTTTGTGAGTAGGATTGAGGGTCTCAAAGCAAATAATCCCTTCAAAACAGTCCTCCAATCCAAGCCTGCTCAGTGCTTTAGCAGCATGGACCTTGTCCGCATTTGTGAATATCTATTTCACATAAACAAAAATAAACAAAAAGAGTTAGCACAAAGAAGAAAGTTTATAACCTTTGGCCTTTACTAGGCTTTCATATGGTAACAAGATGCTTACGATTTTCCGATAAGGCAGGTTCAGCAGAAGGTTCCTCAAAACCGGGTCGGGTTTTATGTTCTCATAAGGTAATCTTCCATGGACAAAACTGTTACATAGGAAAGCAAGACGTTAATAATCCTTCAAGACCAATAATACAACAAAATATAAAAGAATGAAGAGATCGAAGTGTTTCCCAGTACCTGTGATATTCATCATAGTCAAAGTCATAGCCAATTGCCTGAAAAGGAGAAACCCCAAAGTTATACATAATTCAACAAGAAGTTCAGCAGTAAATAAAAATGCAAAAAACATGGGGAAGTATATAAAAAGTACCCTGAGACCAGCCATTGTAGTTCCATAATTCTTGTACAGCAGGTTACCCAATTCAGGGATTATGCTCCTCTCAATGCCAAGCTTTTCAACCATATAATCTGAAAAGAAACAGGGCACCAAAAATATAAATTTACTGATATGATAAATGCAAAATGAGAAAAATAAATGTGAATTTCAGGGCCTAACAAGAACACAAATTTACCTTCTATATTGTTTCTGCATGCTGTAGCAATCCCAGTACTGTAGGGATACAGTGTGTCATCTAGATCTGCAAAAGTTCAAACAAGTGGTCAAGATGATTGCTTTACAAGGCAACTCAGATTGACACAAAAATTTCCAAAAGCAAAAGGCTTACCAAACAGAAGGCAATCGTATTTGGTTCTCTGAGCTGGCCTGTATCGGTCGTCGAATTCCATTTCGATCAAGAAACCTTCAGCAGACGACAAAAAGAAGTGAACACTAAGTTCCATGATAGCTTAAACCCACACAAGCTTATATCAAATTTCATTTTGATTCTCAAACTGAACTTTTTCATGGCTGATATAAAATAATAATAAAAAATAGTGGCCCCTATTGACTCAGATTACCACCAAAAGAAGAAAAGGGTCTTCAGAAGGGGAACCATCTGAGGCCAAAACCAAGAATCTTGGTTGGATAAGGCTCTTAGTTTTCTGAATGGACAATCCACAAACCCTACTATAAATTGAATGATGAAGAGGGGGACCAATGGCTTTATGGGGTTTTAAATTTAGATAATAAACCTAGTAAAAGGTGTATTTACTTTATAAGATCAGCTGTCCACATATGATGCATAGATTAATGCATAAAGCTACAATCAAAGTTAAGTTAAGCAAAGTTTCATGTGATATATGAAGCAGTTTCCACACTGTATCTTAACTTTAGGGAACAAGAACAACTCATTGGAAAAGCTTTCCAAGTAGAACTATAAAGAATCATATGTTTAATTTGGATCAAGAAACAAAAGTATTTGTGTCCATTGGATGAGCCTCAAAGTACTCAATTTGATATGATCATCACAGAACCAAAACTTTTGTGCAAAGTGGATATATATTCATATGAAATGAACCACTTTGCTGATATTAAGATGATGATTGATGAAAACCCAAATCTTCATAACAAAGATTGGAAATGCTAGAGAAAGCCAGAAGCAATAACATTTGAAGATACCATTGGATCAAAGAGGAATGCTATTCACAATCGCTCAAAAGCGATTCTCATCGAACTCGCTATCCACGTGTCTCTGTGCTGATGGTTTCCAAGTTGGGCAATAAAATAGTATTACCACCGTTCTCTCTCCTCTTTCTTTTATTCTCTTCTTCTTTTTTCCTTTCTTTCTCTCCTCTCCCTGTTTCCTATTTTTCCCCTTCGTTTATCCTCTCTCTCTCCTCCTCCTTCTGTGAGAAGAGAGAAATAAAGAGGAAGAAGAAGAAAAAACAGAAGGAGGAGGAGAGAGAGAGGATAAACGAAGGGGAAAAATAGGAAACAGGGAGAGAAGAGAGAAAGAAAGGAAAAAAGAAGAAGAGAATAAAAGAAAGAGGAGAGAGAACGTTGGTAATACTATTTTATTGCCCAACTTGGAAACCATCAGCAGAGAGACACGTGGATAGCGAGTTCGATGAGAATCGCTTTTGAGCGATTGTGAATAGCATTCCTCTTGGATCAAAAGATTAACATTTGACTTACCAGAATAAAATGCCAAAACCAAATTGACTGACTAAGAGAGAGAAGCAGAAGGGAGGAAAGAAAGAAAGAAAGAAAGAGAGTTTCTTTCTTGCAAGGAGAGAACTCTGGGAGAGAAAGCAATGCTAAAGGTGTTGAACAATGAAGGAGTGGGAGGAGGAATGAGAGAAGCAGAGGTGGGTTTAAATAGGCAAACCGTTGTTTAATTTCCCACGAGTTTCAATATTTTAAAATGATTTTAAACCATATTTTTTATCTCAATCACGTTCAGTTAATTTTAAAACTCATAGAAAAATAACAGGAAATGAGAGAAGAAGGTAACAGGAAAATGCCAACCTGGTTTCCAAGGTTGAAAAGGTTGAACCAAGTGTTGTATTGTGTGGAATCTCTTTGTCCACAAATTTCCAGTTTTGCCACCACCTCTCCACCCCTTTCTCTCATGGTCCAAGTTTACCCTCATAGTCTTTTCAAAATTCCACAAATACCCCTGAATTTGAAATCCAGTGTTAAGTTGTTTGTTTTGAAAACAAGTGGATGCCAGAAATTGGTGCCAGCCATTATGACAAGGTACATAATATGGTAATATGCTAAGACGCTATGCTTATGCTTGTCGAGGAGGAGAGTTAGCTAAATGCCTAATTTGGGAAAAATATTATAGTTGCTTACAACTTACAACTCTACTCAATAGGATCATAATTATTGTTATCTGATGTTTTTTTTTCCTTCTATAAGGTAATATATATATACAGAGTTGTAACTAATAGTTGTGTAATATCTGTAACAAATTATTGGTATTACAAGGGGTTCGTAGATCAGTTGATTAAGAGTATTTATCCATGTATCCGACTTCGAGGTCCTTGATTTAGGGTATGTTTGGTCTGGTTTAAATCCTGAACCAATTAATCTATGAGAAAAACTTGGTTGCAATTGGAATATCGTTATTTTG